TGGCAAGCAGTGCTGCCGCCACAGAGCAGCCCCAATGGGCGAGCCCAGAACCAGCGCAGGGCCCAGGCTGGCAGTGGGGGCCAGCTGACAAGATGGCACTGAGTGTGGGAAAAGCGGCCCTGCCCCGTGCCCAGCACCCCACGCTGCAGCTGCTAGCAGCCCACATGGGGCTGTCTGTGCCTGTTCAGGACAGCCCTGAGTGGGCTGTGAGTGGCTGCAGAGGGAGTGCTGGCCACGGGGCAGGCAAGGAGCCACTTTTCCCTGTGCTCAACACCAGCTCATTCCCTGCTGGGGAGCAGGGGGTTGGGGCTGTGTGCTGCCCCCCGCTTGCACCGCAGGGCTGGGGGGCACTGAGAGTGAGCAGGTGCACAGGATCCACACTGGTGTCCCGGGGCCAGCATCAGCAGGGCCCAGAGGAGGGCGGCAGGAGTACAGAGTCCCAGCCGGCAGAGGCTCTGTGGAGCCAGGCCAGCTCCCCCCTCTCACTGCTGGTGCAGCCCAGCCCAGTTTCACAGACCCCTGCCAGCCTGCGCCCCACTCGTGCTGGCCCTGAGACATTGATCCCAGATGGTGACCAGGGGGTGGGGCACCTATCAAGGGGCAGGGACACCCATCAACAGCTTGCCACAACTAGGTAGGCAGCCCTCCGCCCGAAATAATTGCCCGCCCCTGGCTTACCCCCACAAGACACTCCCTAAGATCCCATAAAAAAATCCAGGGAATCTTAAAAGAAAAAAAACAAAACCCCAAACATAAACCCCAGTCTTTAACAGCACACACCTCCTAAAAAAAGGTGTCTGTTGTTCCCTTGTCTGAAATTATCCCTTCTCAAACAGCTAAACGTTATTATTCCCAACACCAGGGTATAGACGCCTGAAGTGATAGAAGATGAAGAAAATGGATTATTTCCATTTCTGGCTTGTATGAGAGAAACTTGATTAGTTTACAAGGATTCTTCTTTGCGTGTATTACACGTGCATGCACACAAAACTAAAGGAGATCCAAAAAGAAGCATTCCATAACTACGCCTCCTGCTGTGCACGTGTGGCATGGCAGGAGGCATGACTCTGTGAATTGCACATCAGCTCCCCGCCACGCTTTTCCCTGAATGTGTCCAGGAGCCCTTACAGAAGTGGATCTACAATTTGAATTCCAGGGAGAGAACTAAATATTTGATTCATTATAGTTATTTGTGGATAGCAGCATTACTCTGTTCAGTTACAATACCCAGAAACTATGAAAAAAATTCACAGAATTTTCTAATGCTATTCTCCCTCCCAATGAGGCATGTTACTGAAAATTCTAGATGCTGCAGGCAGCACAAAGGGGGGGGCTAGGAGGCGAGATGCTCAAAGAATGAGGTGGGAGGCAGCCCAAACAAAAGGAAACTATAAAACTACTAAGAGACATTGCATGAGACCAACCTGAGATTCTGATCCATAATAATTTGGAATGAAGTTTGCTTAATTCATAATTTCTTTAATCATTCTACTAGGGATTTTTAGTGACTAAAAAAAAAAAAAAATAATAATAATAATAATAATAATAATAATAATAATAATAATGAGTCTAAAAACTTGACTGATTTACTGTCATCGCTCTCATGGATTTGAATGAAAGTGATAATCAGATTAGTTTGACAAGTCTTCCAACATGTTAGGTCATGAAGAACTACAAGAGCAGTTTATTTTTAGTACAGATAAAAGGCAGAGTATAATACCACTCTTAATATATTGAGCCATTGCTTGGCAGACCAGAATATTCACAAGCAACTTTATTTCAAAAGTAATCACATACTCTCAGAAATCATACAATTATATCAAATTCTCAATGTTATTAAAAAAAAAAAAGACAAAGACTCCACAGAAAAGCTTGAAAGTATAATCCAGGCATAAATGATTCAGTGGTATGTGCCCAAACTGCTTGAAATAAAAACAGAGAAGCCCGAGTCTCCCCATTCATCTTTAGAGAAAGCTAAAAATCGCACTTAACATTTCATAGGGATAAGTGACAACTCACATATGAAGGCCTAAAGTAACCCGACCAAGACCAGGACATCAAAGGACTGCATGCAGCAGAACAGTGCACAAGCCCAGGCTGAGAGAAGTACTGCAACAGCTGAAGTACAAGTACTAGGGAGCCTCTGCAGTTCCTCTCGCTCTTTAACAGACAACTCGTAGTAATCTAGCCCCACTGCTCCCAAGAAGGGGCCAAATACTGCTTCTTCAGGAAACAAAAAAGAGGGATTTATGCCAGTACTCCTCCCATTCTAAATAGAAGTTGGAGCAATGGGACAGCAAACAGCCACATGGATTCCTGTGTTAACCTTGATCCAACCTTGCAAAGGCCTACAACCAGCCCAGAAAAAACAGAAGACATTTATGCTTACCTCATCAAATATTTCAAGATAGAAAGAGTCCACACCAGGGGGAACTGTGCACTGAATAACTTTGTTCCAACGGGGATTCTTGGCTCCATTATGAGCTGTAGGAGTTTCATATACAGCATAGCCAAGCCGTATCCGACAGTATGGATCCATACGGGTCATACCGTAATTCTTTGCCAACTTTGCCTGGGAAGAAAAAAAATAAACTAAAAATTATTCCCTTCTTTCAAGAGAAATGGTAAATTTGAGCAGTTAAAAAACATTGTGATTAATCTATCGCTGGTGGATTAAGGCTGTATCTACATTATAGGGACTTGCTTTACTTTTAAACTATGTTACAGTTTTTCTACCGTTAGAGCTCTACCAGCTCCTTTGGGCTAGCAGAGCTGTCTCCTCACTGCAGTTTGCTGACAGTTATTTTGGCAATGGGATTAACTTTTCCCCCCCACACTTTTGAGCAACAGAGCTCAGATGGTAGAATTCTGCAATGTAGACAAAGGCAAATGACACCAACTACTCCCAATTAAGACCTTAACAGAAACTAAAGTAAAAAGAAAAAATAAGACCCAAAACAGAAACATTGTTTGGAGGCAAAACAGTAACAACAACAGACATTATGGGAATTTGAAAGACACAGGTTTAGTATATTCTAGGCACCTCAAATGCAACATTGTTCATTTAATAGGACAGTCCCAGATCAATTTTCAGTCAACCAGCAAGAAACAAAAAGTACAGGAAAAGAGCAACACAGGCTAGGAGGGTCCACTGAAATTCATTTACCCTTTGATTTACCTCACAACTCTTACAAAAGTAAGAGCTAGTCTTATGTCACAAGAATATTTCTACCAGAAAAAATAATATGGTATTTATACAGCTATTGAACCATGGTAAGTCAATAGTGCCAAAAAGTCCTAGTTTATCAAACGCATACAAAAATTTACTTGCCCAGCCTTTTCCAGGACATTTTAAAAACCAAAACTACCACAAACCAAAAGACAATTTAAAAAAAACCCATTAAAATTCACTCCAAACGAGTAGAATTTGTGTGTGGCTCCATTAGTGTCATACCTAAACATTTTCCAAATAATATCAAGTGTACCATGTGTACCAATATTAAATAAAATCCCAACCCACTTTAAAATATGCCTACCGTTTGCACTATATTAGAGTTGTATTCCAGTTATTTAGGCCATAAGCTCCCAAGAGTAAGGACTTAGAAGCATAATTTTGCTTAGCTACAATCAAAGCAGCAGCATTCAACTAAGTCAACAAGACAGCAAGCCAAAAATTTATTTTTGGATTATAAAATTTAGTTTCTGACTTTTAACAACTAGTTTGGAGTTTCTTGCCATCATAGGAAAACCGACAGATGGGATGCTGTGCCTTAGCCTTGCCTCCCCTAAACGTTAGGAAAGGCTGTAACAGACAAGTGCCTTTTATGCAAGCAAGACTCCTACAACTTCAGTCAATTCACACTATATCAGCTTTAACTGCTAAAAAGCAGGTTTAGGTTCACAGACACTAGGGCTGGAAGGGCCCTTGGGTCCAGCCCCCTGCCCAAGGGGCAGGAAGTCAGCTGGGGTCAGATGACCCCAGGAAGATAAGCATCCAAGTATTTCTTAATGGTATCCAGAGTAGGTGCTTGCACCACTTTGGCCAGTGCGGGGTGGGAGAGGAGAAGTCTACTCCAGACTCTGGAGACTGAGATGGTAAAGAAGTTTTTCCTAATGTCCAGTCTAAAATGGTCTTCCAGCAGTTTGTGACCATTAGACCGTGTCTTCCTTTGGGGTGCCCTGATGAACAGACCTTATCCCAGTTCCTGGTGCACACCCCTTATATATTTATAGGCTGCCCCAAGTCATCCCTGAGCCTTTGCTTCTCCAGGCTGAAGAGTCCCAAGCCTCAGCCTCCCCTCAAAAGACCTGTTCTCTTGACCTCTAGGTTTAATTAAATTAATTTAAAATACTGGAAGCCTTTACATCAAGTTTCCTGATAGTTCATCTGTACTTGTGTTAGAACTAATGGGAATTAAAGACATGCAGTATAGACAAGGCCATTCTCTGCATTATAAAGTTCTCTCAGCAAAGCTATGCCAGGAAGGGGTACAGGATCACTCCCCATGGCTGACAGCTCTCTAACAAAGCCTGTGGCATTGACACAGCTCTGCTGCAGGGAAGTTATTTCTGCCAACAGAGCTACTGTCATCTGGGGGAGCTTGCAGAGATCTCATAGGGGAAAGACTCTTTCTGCTGACAAATGCATGTTATTGTAAGGCTTCCCACAAGGGCAAGTCTTTAGTCAAGCACAGAGAACATTTTCTACAAGAGGAACCAAACTGCAACGTTAGAAGAAAAGCGACAGTCTAAGGTTTGTAACTTTGCCAGATAATTCAAGCCGGGAGTTAATGTAAGCAAACAGCAAAGTAGTCTGCAACTTTAGCAGCATGTCCAATAACCCCAAACCTGCCAAGCTGTCACTGAGCATGGCATTTATGACTCCATGGAACTGGTAATAAGTCCTGTGCTCCTTAAAACATAGGCCTCGAGAAACAAGCTGCAGGATGAAAACCCCAAAATTCTAGTCTCAACTCCTCCATTAGCTTGCAGGGGAAAATGTGTATAGAAGCACTAATTGGCAGTGTTAGAACAAATCACCTGTCACAGAATGACTGTGATCAGCGCTGGCACAGAAGTGATGCCATTTTCTACTCACAAGGAGGTACTTGATGCGCAGCCCACAGTTTAATATTAATCATGTTAATATCTTAAAGAGAAACGCATGTTATTTTTCCATGAACATCTTGCTAAAACTGTCTTACATAGGAAAGGGTATAAAAGTAGCAGAGGTCAACATTTTGGGCAGGATGCAGGGCTTAATTTGTGGCATGGTTGCCAAATCTGCCACACGACTTTCTGCTCCTTGCCTGATCATCTTCATTTTATACAGAGAGGCTGCCCATGTCACTTGTCTCTCTCAGGCTGGCCACCCCTAGTATAAAGCCTGAAGAATGATATTTCAAAATGTAGACATTCCAGAGTCACCTTTTCACCCAAAGGATGAGATAGTGGTATTGACTGCATAAATGCCAAGATCATTACTATAAAAGAAGCAGTGAGTGGTAGATACCATCTTGATTGTTCCACAATCATTTGTACCAATGGTAAATGCATCAATATTAGTGATACTGGAAAGCCATATTCTGCTACTTTCAAAGATAGCTCAGACTGCATGCATTAGTTTTTTCCAATGGAAGTACAATGGCTACAGTATAAAATCAATACAAAAGGTCCATCTTGAGCAGAGATGTTAAAGGAACATCTTCTATGTCCTGCACTCCCATTGCCACAACCATCAGTTATTGAGAACATCAGTAATGAAGCAGCTGAAAAACTGTAGCACTGCTGCATTTCTAGAGAAGACACTTACTAATCAGCCCCAGATACACTGATCAGGCTGGACAGGAAACTAAATACCAAGACTGCTCCACGAGTCTTCAGTTTTACATCCTTTTAAAAATACTACATTTGTACTTAATACATCTTTCATCTAAAGAGAAAAGGTGGGTAGCATGCCCATTAATAGACTGAAATGTAACACAGCAGTTTTTTTAAATCTTGTGTATAACAAAGCCAAAAGTTTGAGTATTGTCTTGATATAACAAATAAAGTGATCCTCTACACAACAGAAACAAGGAACAATCATAAACTAGAGATATACATTAATGACTATGTCAACAACTTATGCACATGGATCCCCTGACAGCCAGCGTTCCCCGCTTAGGTGATAGGCAGGGGGGCAGGCAGGAGCCCTGACTCAGAAGGCACCAGTTGCCCATGTAAAGAACTATTACTTACTAGCAAGTTAACTTACATTAGGAAACAGCTTTCCAATAAATGTTTGTTATGGAAAGTACTCTGTACTTCTAAATTCAGTTCACCTACGTGGTAGCAAAGTTCAGAAGACTAGGTAGGATGCTGCATTTAAAACTGCAGTTATCCTGGTAGTGTCCCAGAACTACCGAGTCATTTAATTGTTTCATTTAAAAAATGTTTTAATATTTATTAAGAACAAATGGTATTATATCAAGCTATGTCATTACATCAATGCATTCATTTTCTAGATGCAACTAACACAGTAACTTTTATGATATCTGCACAAAGCCTCATATGGCCAATGAAGACATAACACATCAGATGGACTGGTAAAGTTATTAGTTATACCTGTACTACAGTAATGCTGAGTCTGCCCACTGTGCCCATTGGACCGCCATACTGTAACTGTTGGGCTGCTTGTGCATCCAACTGGATTTGCTGCTGCTGCTGTGTTGGAGCAATGCGCAGGAAATCTTGAGGAAGCTCACCAATGTACACCTGTAAAACAAACGTAATAAACTGGATCATAAGCCAAGAGCTAACTTGTGGAAGATAGCATCTCCTTTCCTCCTTCTACTAGAAAAGCTAAGGCAAAGAAATGACTGCTTCATAACTTCTGCAGAATTTTATTTTCACACTGACAGCATCAAAGTGATAAATTCCATGACAGATTTGTTTACAAAAAGTTAACACTGCCCAGGAATCTCTCTTGCCCTTCTAAAACATCAAGTTCAGCAAAATTCAGACCTTTGAAAGTCAAGATATACCACAGGGGTCGGCAACCCACAGCACGCGTGCCGAGCATGGCACGCGAGGCCATTTTGCTTGGCATGCCACCACTAGCCCGGGCTCTAGGCAGCTGCTGCCAGTCACAGAGCCCGGGCTACTCCAAGCAGGTGGCTGGGAGACTGCAAGGCCTGCTGCAAGCAAACCAGGCTCCATGGCTAGCAGCAGCTACCCAGAACCTGGGCCGGCTGCAGCCAGGAGGCTGCAAACAGCTGCTCCAGGCTCCGGCATCAGCTCCATACTGGCGGGTTCACGCATGCCTCGGAGCAAATGGTGGGGGAGGAGCCTGAAGCAGCAACATTTATGATTATTAAATATACTAATACACAGTGCATCCTGCCATGTACCACCACCAGCCAAGTCAAAGGAACACTCTGCTTCTTCCAGTAAAGCACGGTTTGTTTGTTTAACACCTGCACGCAGCCATGATACCATTTAACATTATCTTTTCAGTTCAGCACTAAACCATTAACATTTACCTCCCCACCCAACTGTTAATAATACCCATGGTAATACCATCCCCAGTTGTGCTTCTGGCCTGCGTAATGTGGTCAAGGGTAGAAATTTCTTTCTTCTAATATCTGTCAAGTCTCAGTTCTGAAAGTTGCATTCAACCTATAAGACTTCTGGGAATATTAAATTAAATATTAAAACATGTTCTGAATTAAACTGGCAAGCGGAGTATAACAGTCCATTATGGAAGGAGAGGCCCTTAGAAAGCAGAGAGAAACAGGCACGTTTGGTCTTAAGTCTATGAAGATGTATGGATATAACTGAAGTAACATGGTATATGATAAGTCACTCCTACCTTTTCAGGGTAATTTTAAGGGAGAAACAAGTACAGAATGGAAGAGCCTTAAACCACCAGTGACCCACAAAATTCCACATGCAAGTCAAATAACCCTGGAAAGGACCCAAAAGGTTAAAGTTTATTTAAAAAATCCAAAGTGAAAGCTGCATGAAAGAAATTTCTGCCTTGGTAGCTTAACTGCCTGCACAAAATATAATGCAAATACAAAATTTCGGTGCTATTTTTACAGTACGCTTGAAGGGGAAACAAAAGAGGTAATCTTGTAGCAAACCAGTATAATATGCAAAGTACACTACATCAAAAGCCCTGCATCCATTTTATATCTTATGTACAATGCTTTATTTCTACAGAGCAAGTCACAAAGCCCAATGACAAGAGTCATACATAGGATATTTCCTGGCAAGTGAGTAACCTTGTCAACCTGGCAAGAGCAGACAAGAAAATTATCTTATTGTAGGAAATTAAAAGCCCTGTAGGCTATGTCTTTAAAAGATTACTCATAAGCACTCGCCCTCTAAGATGATATCTATTGTGTATAGGAACTACAAAGAATTTAATTTGGCAAAAGCCATGGCTTCGGGATCTCAGCAGGAGTCAATACAGCAGGCCAGGTCTGAGGTGCATTAAAAAAAAAAAAAAAAAAAAAAAAAAAAAAAAAAAAAAAAAAAAAAAAAAAAAAAAAAAAAAAAAAAAAAAAAAAAAAAAAAAAAAAAAAAAAAAAAAAAAAAAAAAAAAAAAAAAAAAAAAAAAAAAAAAAAAAAAAAAAAAAAAAAAAAAAAAAAAAAAAAAAAAAAAAAAAAAAAAAAAAAAAAAAAAAAAAAAAAAAAAAAAAAAAAAAAAAAAAAAAAAAAAAAAAAAAAAAAAAAAAAAAAAAAAAAAAAAAAAAAAAAAAAAAAAAAAAAAAAAAAAAAAAAAAAAAAAAAAAAAAAAAAAAAAAAAAAAAAAAAAAAAAAAAAAAAAAAAAAAAAAAAAAAAAAAAAAAAAAAAAAAAAAAAAAAAAAAAAAAAAAAAAAAAAAAAAAAAAAAAAAAAAAAAAAAAAAAAAAAAAAAAAAAAAAAAAAAAAAAAAAAAAAAAAAAAAAAAAAAAAAAAAAAAAAAAAAAAAAAAAAAAAAAAAAAAAAAAAAAAAAAAAAAAAAAAAAAAAAAAAAAAAAAAAAAAAAAAAAAAAAAAAAAAAAAAAAAAAAAAAAAAAAAAAAAAAAAAAAAAAAAAAAAAAAAAAAAAAAAAAAAAAAAAAAAAAAAAAAAAAAAAAAAAAAAAAAAAAAAAAAAAAAAAAAAAAAAAAAAAAAAAAAAAAAAAAAAAAAAAAAAAAAAAAAAAAAAAAAAAAAAAAAAAAAAAAAAAAAAAAAAAAAAAAAAAAAAAAAAAAAAAAAAAAAAAAAAAAAAAAAAAAAAAAAAAAAAAAAAAAAAAAAAAAAAAAAAAAAAAAAAAAAAAAAAAAAAAAAAAAAAAAAAAAAAAGTAGGGGAAAGTCTGCCTGCATGCTCTGAAGTTCGTTTTATCATTTTTACTTACTCAACAAGCATTTCAATTTTAAAGCCAAGTTCTGCAATATTTGCTTTTTAAACTTAAACCCATTCAAAAAAAACAAAAAAACAAAAAAAAAACCCCCACCTCATCTGCCAATGTTAGTTTAGGAAATGAGGGTTGTTTTATTGTATGTTCAGATTCTCCCCCACTCCCAGAGAATAAGTTTTCCCTAATGATATTCACTGCACATAACAGTAATTTATCATGACTCTCAAAAGCTTGAAACACCTTCCAAGGAAAATATTGCACCAATGCCAGTAATCTATTCTTTACAGAAGGCCCACGAAGATAAAATGTTTGACCTACAGCATCTTAAACCCAATTTGTAGTCTTCACAAAGCCTTAAGAATACCAAATATATATACCTTAAGTTTTTTGTATGTTTTTTTGTCTCGGACCAACACAGCTACCAAGTATACCCCTGAAACATGGAACATGCCGAATTTTAGCCAATTTTTGGATTTTAAACTTCATTGCAGAACAACAAGGAAGTTTTTTGTTGGGTTTTTTTACCTCCCTGCCTGCAGGGAAGGAATACTACCTGATCAACACATCAAAGAGCTACTCAACACAGCTCACAAAGACATTCTCATGGACCCAGAGGAACAGCCTTCCATCTTCAGCTCCCTCTGTGCAAAAATGAAGTTTATTTCCTACCTATGGGGACTTTTTACCATCTTGTACCATCAACACTTTTCCCAGAGCCTGACGAAGAGACTTTGATCCTAAAAGCTTGCAGAAAAGGACAATGTGTTCTTGCCATTTTCCAGTTGGTCTAATAAAAGGTATCGTTTTAGAACCAAGAGTTCTAGTTTTTTGTATGTCTTAAGAATACCAGTAATTTATTTAACAGTAAAAATGTCAAGCATTAGAAAGCCAAGTGACTGATGTTCCAAACTATAATTATTTAGACACAAAGCCTTCAAAATCAGGAAATATGATTCACCAAAAAAGATTCCAAAGGAGCTCATCAGCTGGAAACAACTGAGAGGGAGAGAGACCTCAATGTGTTTGTTGATCAGAAGAGGACTGAGTCATCAATGTGATATAGCTGCAAAAGTAGTAAACATTTGTTCTCCTTAAACATATCAGGAGAAATATCTGGAAGAGATAAAGTGTTAGTGCCATCAATACCAAGCACTAGCAACATGGAACATTACGTACAATTGTGGTCACTCGTGTTCAGGAAAAGTGAATTCAAACTCTAACAGATGAAGAGGCCTACAATACAAATAGGTGGAGAAAAGGTCCTCATCATATAGGGGGAGACTAAGAGTTTGATTTGTTTAGCCTATGCAAACATAGCTGTTCATAAATAAATCAGGGGAGTCAACACCAGAAATGGAGAACTGTTACTGAAGCCAAAGGACACTTAATGCCAGAATAAGTAGGCCTTGGAGTAAGTGTAGTTAGACTTTCTAATTTCTAGTATAATCAAGGCAATGGATCCCAGACCCGCTTCACTCAAAACTGTAGTCTTTTGCTCTTCTATGGTTTTAAAAATGGAGCTCAATGTGGTGTCTAACAGGAGAATAAACTAAATGATCCCTTCTAGTCTGAGGTTCCTATGAAAACATCCAGGTTTCTAACAAGTTCTAAAACTGCAGTTAAGACCATCTTCATGGCCAAGATTCCTTGAGACAACACTGTCTGCAAATTAAAGGCAATGACTTAATTCAGAAGAGAGTTCTATTACCATTTATGTAGGCTCTCGGCCTCAGCTTTCAATAAGTGATGGTTTAATACCTAATCCTAAATTAAGAAGTATATTGAAAGGGTTTAATAATTCATTTTTCTTAAGAGCGCTGAAATAGATGAAAGATGCCAGAAAAAGTAAGGTAATGTATTAGGTTAACTGGGGGTTTTGTAAACAATAAGCACCAACACTCCTCCAGAAATAACTCATGCAGAGCAATCACGTCACATCTAAACAGCAGTCCAAAAGATGCAACCACTTGAGTGCACACGTTCAAGAGAGCTTTAAACTAGATAATCCGATGCATCAACAGCATTATAGCATGCAGTAATTTGGGGTTCAATCATCATGGGTTAAACCTACCCACCCATCCACCTATATTCAGACAGCTGGCCCAAACAGAGTCTGATGCTACTGCTAGTTACCTTGTTATCAATCTAAATCAAGTGGCTTAAAGTTTGCTCCTGTATCCCATAATGAACTGCAAATCCATCATTGGGCTGTAGCGTGGACAGACCTACATGTTTTCTACGGAGCTAAGAGAAGGGCAAACTTAAACCATTCCCTTCCCAAACTCCCAAAACAAGGAGAAATAGCATTTTGCCAATCTTGAATCAGAAGTGTTGATGTCCGATGCAAAAAATGGCAACATGAAAGACTCAGCAGAAATAAAAACTGTAGAAACGCCTTCAGTATATTTTATTGAAGAGGGATTATAGCTTGAAAACATTTTGCCCAAACTTTTTCTCCTTTTACTGACTAACTGAGCTGAATTTCTCAATAGCTAAATCAGAGATCAACTAGATTGTCAAGGCTTTTTGTCTACAGATAAGAAAAATAAGCTTATCTTGATATCACCACTCTTGGTATTTACAAAAAGAAATCTGTTCTTCACCATTTAATTCATTAATCCGTTCACCATCAAAACCAGATTATTTTGTTTTTGGAAAAACAAAATCAAACCCACCCACCTGCACCTTTGTAATTAAGAAGCATAACAACTGGTTAAAGTCAGAATTAGAGTCTCTTCAGATATGATGTAGGAAAGAACCATAGTTAGCGGTTCATGCTCGAGACATCAGAATGATTACGTTCCACTTTGATTTAGAAATACTAACCATCTAACACTCCACAAGATAAAGATTTTCTCTATTTTATGGAGGATGAAAGTGATGAGGTACATGAGCTGTCCATCATACAGTATATATGAATCCCTCAGAGGGAAGGTCCAGTATATGAACTGTTATACGTATTACACAGGCATTCAGCATCCCCTTGATAGATCCGCAAGTAGAAACAGAATCAAGGGGGAGAGGGGAACCACACATACACCATGCTACCTTTTGAACATGCTCTCTCCAATGCTTCCAAACCAGAGCATCCTATTTAGTAGCCATGCAGTCTGAATGAGTGGTTCTCGACCTTTTTGGAGTCATGTCACCCCTTCACCACTTTCCTGAAAATGGCAGAGGGGGCTAGACTGTATCACAACACACCTAATGGGGTCTCCCAGCACCCTGATTGAGAACCACGTCTAAATAATTCACATTTCAAGTTAGAGACCGAACAGATGACACAGTTACCCCACTTAAAAGCTGGCATGGAAGTGGATAGGAAGGTTGAAGAGAGGACTGATACCAGATTGAGCAGCATCACAATAGTTTCATCTGTTCCCTCCTAACCCCTAAATTGAGGCAGAGCAAGTTTGCCTTGTTTGAAGCAGTGGTTACTTACTGCAATTCCTTTCCCTAGCTCTGGGTTAGCGGAGATGTAACAGTCTTATCTTATGAAACGTTATTAGGCACTAGGTAAAAATGTCAAAAGTGAGTTCGTGTTCACTCTAGAACAGAAAACAAATAAAACTGTTTTTAATGCCAAATAAGTAATACATAAATAGCAGTTTTACAACATGTATGTTTTTTACTTGGAAAAATTAAGATTAGTAAAACAAACTGTTAGTTTAAATTGTCCCATGTCTCAAAGCACAAAAGTGAATCAAAAGTTCCTATATTAGTAAATGATGCCAAAGCTTGGAGAAAGGCAGGAACAATGCTAAGGAGCTGTGAAACCAACACTTTGTGCCAGCAAAGTTAAAGGGGTTTTGTTCCCTTTGTTTAAAGGAACAAGGGAGGAAAGGATAGCACTGAACACATTAAGCAAAGAATTAGACAGCTATTTTATAGCCACAAGACTAAGAGCAGGAGAAACCACAGCACCCTACAGAATATGACAAGCAGGATAACAGAAGTTATCACAGTAATGAGGTTACTGATTATCACAGTAATCTAGCCCATCTCTAATCTAGTCCACAGTAATGTGGCCAGTGCAAGATTACTTCCCACTAGGTATTCTGCAACATTTGAGCTACATACTCTCTACTTTCCTCTCCATTAATCTGTTGCAGTAACAGGATAAACTTGTTAATATTTACAAACTCCCTAAATTCCCTGAAGGCAAATACCACTGAAGCACAAGACAGAAAAACATCTTTGGAGCCTCTTTTCTCATGCCCCTCCTATTGCCAAAATTTTCTATATTACTCCTCCATAACTAGAGCAGACTCCACTTACATGCTGCAGCATTTTAATTAAGGCAGCTTCTGAGAGCCGCTGTAATTAAAACATCCCCTACCCCAACGTGTATAGGCACACATGATGTCAGTCTAGCCAAAAGAACTGCCAAACTCAAAAGGCATTTTGGAAGTGCTCTTGGATTAGGATAGTTCCCTTTCAGTATAAGCCATTTCTTCTGGGGAGCCCTCTCAGGGGGAGTCTAGTATTGGTTGAATACTTCGAATTCCTCCATAGCACCACTAAGCAGTGATACTTCTTCCTTGACTTCAAATTTTGTTTAAGAGACAACGCCTGTGGAAGTTTAAAAAGAAGAGTTTCAAAAATAGTGAAGATGAAACAAAACACTTTCAAATAAGAACCTGAAAGTATTATCTGAGCCACCTTGAACATTTTATGTGACAGTAGTGCACCTGAGAGAGCAACACATCACAACATATTTTCATGAAAAAACATTACGGGATTGAAGGATTTTAAGCCTTCAGTCATTTCTAGAGGTTCAGAAACCTGAATTTACTGTAAAATTCAAGGCTTTAACTCTGAAAAGCAGCATATCTTGATGATATCTGCCATCCTGGTAAATCAACATTTCAAGGCCAGGTACAACCTTTATAGTAGTACCTAAACCAGGGAGCGCTTCCTTATATATTCCAAAAAACAGCATGACAGGAAGACAGTGAATAAAAGCCTGCCTGAATTGTGTGAAAAAGGATCAGTGCATCTTCAGTGACAGATGTGTGTCAGAACTGGCCTAGAGACCTAGTATCCCATCATCAAGGTATGGTGTCAGTATAAACAAAATTGATTGCTTTGCCTTCCATATTCAAGAAAGATAAATTCAAAATGAAGCAGGTACAGAGAAGGGCTACTTGGCTCTCCTTTTTCTCCCAATATCTTATCTTTGGAAGGGAGACTAAAAAAGGTTGGCTATTTAGCCTAGCAAGATGAAAATGTATCAGGATGGACACCAGAGGGATGTGAAAAGATCAGTCAGGCTAAATGACAATATTGACACAAGAACAAACAGGTTTAAAGTTTAGTCAGAAATTAATTTCCGTCTTACCAGGAGAGCAAGGTTCCAAGGTTCTTTATCAGTTTGTATCACAGTTACCAACAATAACAGAGACTAGTCTCTCTGTGCCTATATACATGCAGGGAGGCTGCTCGGACACGCTCTAATTACAGTGTGTCGGAGCAGACTCAATTAATTGAGTCTGCTAGAACATGGCAATTACCGCTCTCCAGCAGAAATGAGCATCATGTGGTCAACATCCTTGTGCTGAGAAATGGCAACAGGGGCACTTTAACTACAGCCCCCATCACCCCTCAATTCCCAGAGCACCCTGTGGTCCCTTCCAGTCCTGAATGCACACAGAACCAAACTAAGGAATCAAACTGCGTATTTTAATCTCATAAGTTTAGAAACAGAAATTTCCCCCCCCCAGTAACACCAGTCATTTTTTTTTTTTTTTATAAAAGTACCAGATATTGCAAATTACATAATGAAATACAGCAGCCATTATATATTCTGCCATACATACATTCTTTACATTTCACCTGAACATTTATCAGAAGAGGGCAGAAGGAATTTCACTTTTAATACATCTGAAAAAATAAACTGCAATTAGGAATGTTTGCCATGTACATATAAATGAGAACTACAGATCAGAAAGTGTAGGCATAAAAATAAGTCTGGTGGCATTCTGTCATGTACTCCCAGACACCCACGTCCAAGACAACCTTGGAAAGCTTCCTGTTTGAGCAAGCTAGAAGGATAAAGAGGTAAACACTCTCTGCACCATTAGAGCATTAGACAGGACCTTGTATTTAGCCTGTTAGCCCCCTTTAGTGGCTACTTACTGACATTACAGTTTTGGAAGATGCTGTTTGCCCTCCATGTCACAAGGAAGGAATATAGAAACTGCATTAGTCTTTCCACAGAAAGACTATCAGGAAAGGGGATATACATAGTCTTGAAAGGCTGCTCTTCTCCAGTAGAAAGGAAACCATTTTATATATGCAGTCACCGATTTGAAGCAAGAGCCCTTTTGGGGTTAGTGGAGAGGAAAGTCCAGAAGCGAAAGGTTGCAGGCAGGCGCCCAGCCAAAGAAAATGACAAAAGGCCTCCCTCCATATAAAGGCTTTAGGGCCTAGCAACGAAAGTTAACAAAATCCATTTGTAAAGAGAAACATATTCTTAAAGAGCTAACACAAAGGGGAAACTGCAGGAAACGAGATCACTAACACACTTCCATCATCATCAGATAAGGCCAGTGTAACAAACAACCTAGTCTTCTTGCCTCTCAGCATCACTACATAAGTCCGCTAGTTTGCTCAGCCTAGCCATTTTGTTCCCTATAAATACCTGAAGACCAGGGTTCAATTGTAAATAGACGTACTAACACAAAATTCAGACTGCCCCCAGACGCAGGCAAGGACGAAAGAACTGGAACAGAAGAGTAAAGCAGGGTTTCATCACACGTCTGTGTCTGTGGTAACACTGGAATGATGCTGTCGCAACCCAAGAAACTGGATTTTGGGGGCAGGGTGTCTCTGGGCAGATCAACTGAATGACTGGTGAGACCGGAAGAAGAGCTCTTGCACTTGAACGCTCGGTGTCTCAATGCAGCCCCACTCGATCCATGGTAGAATCAGAAGCCCAGGGCTGCAAGGGACCTCAGGAGGCCCACTCCAAACCCCTGCCCAAAGCAGAATCACACCCCAATGGTGCCACCCGCCCCCTGTCGCATCTCGAACAGCGTCACCTAGCAGAGGGCGGTCCCAGCAGCCAGGGCAGAGTGGGAGGGTCAGGCGGTTCTCCGCCTTTTTTGTACCAGGACCCGTTTACAAACATCGACTGCCAGTCCCGACCCAGTGCCCCCCTCCCCCAGCACGTGAGGCAAGGGAGGCCCCAAAAAGGGGGGGGGGGG